TGTTATTGAAACTAGCCGGTAATGAATAATATTTCTATGGTTTTATTTTTTATCGTTGGCTAGTGGTGGTGTTTGAAGATGTAGCACGCAGTAGTCAACGTAAGCAGACCTGGACATGTAACGACCTGTTAAGATATTGTCTCAGCATGACTCACATGTGGAGGTGAATTTCTCCGAGGAACTGCGGTAGAAGGAGATTTTATTGTATGACAGAGGGAAAAAATCTTTTAGTTAATTTTTTTTTTTCTTGAGCAAAACAGAATTCTTGTCTTGGTAGAAGACAATATTACTTAATGATAATCGTGGCCATGGACCATGTAATAATAGCGATTCTTAATAGGTGATTTCATTAGTAAAATAGACTATGTGTCACATTTACGCGTTTAAAATAATAATAGTGATGATATTATTAATTGTTATTTAACAATTTTTGCATAGGAAACGGTTTTAACACGACAAATTAACAAAGAATATATTTTAAGATGAACGTGGCCTCAATTACGTTTCAAAAACAATGTTAAAACAATCTAAATAATTTTCAGTTTTTAGTCACCAGTGTTGTATTTAAGTTTTTAACACGTAGGGTCAATCGCTTTTTTGGCTATATAGACCTCTACAGTTACGTTACAGTATGTGTGGAAAATGTTTAGATGAAAGCACATGTGTTTAACCCTTCAGGGTACCTCAAAATAAGTTTTTATTTTACACTAATTGAATTTTTTCTTTCTTTGTGGTTATCGTATCAGAAATAATTTGTTGAAATATCTATATTTGTTGTATCTTATGTTAGATATTGGTGAATCGTGAATGCTAATCATATAAGTGAAATATTTTATGTCTGATCAGATTAAAAATGTATAGTATATTTTGCACTCCAATTGGCGTTATTCGTTTAAAATAATTGTCATTCATTTTACGAACATTTTATTATCTACACAACTCAAATTATTCTATAAATGATTTTAAGCTTTAGGAAATATTAGGTGATGTGATAATAATAGGCATTATAGTATTGTAAATATGTCATGATGATAAATAAATGTATAAATTAATACTATCCTTGGGCATTTACTGTATCGCACTAATGGACATTTTTTTTATTTCTCATTTAAAACAATATCAACGAAGGCTAAAAACAAGTTGGTGTAGCTGGCATATTATAGGTTCAATATAAGATATACAAAAGACTTTTGGCGGGAAAACGTTTGAACAACTAGTCAAACAAGTACATTAAACTCTACTATAATTTTCATCAAATGATTGTTCACTTTTTTTCGCTAGCTATTTATTTCTCATGCTTCTTATTTTAAATTATTGACATAAAATTAAGCATAAAACCTATTAATACTTAATTGTATTTTAATACTAGTTTTGTTAAACTGAGGAGTGGTTGTAAATAGATTATATTTTGTGACAAGGTCATTGAAACGTTTTGAAAAATACATAGCAAAATTATTTAATTATTTCAATCAATCATTATGTATGATAATAATTAATCGGACAAAAATTCAAAGGTATTTCTAGTTCAGGTCAGGGATAGCGAAAACTAGTATCGGTTTACATGAACAGTATTAGAGCTTATAATGATGATTTTTAACCAGCTTACGTATTTTATGAAATAACAACTAAAAAAACAATCTAAAACTACTCTTGATGACATTCTAGAGAATCAGGTTGAACATTTTTTATGATAATGCATGTTAAATCAAAAAAATAATAATAAGTAAATAACCTATTAGATTCGTGTTTTTTTTTATATGATCAAATATTACCGGTAATTGATCATTGTAATTGGTGTAATTAAGTGGAACAAGACCAGCTTAAAGCGATTTATTCAACCTGTATGTTTTCAGAGATAGTCACACCAGGGGCGTAATTATGAGTGGATATGGGTATAGATACCCCAGAGCAAAAATATTTACACGGTGAATTGTTTTTATCGTTTGGAGGGGTAGTGAAAAATATTGCTATGTATATCCCCCCACAGAATATATCCCTAATAACGCCGCCACTAGACACATTTTGTACTCCCTCGAGTCATTAACTTCTTGTGAAATCAAAATCAGTTTAACTAAAAAATATGTTTTAATTTTATCAAAAATAGATCTCGTCTATTGATTCAGTTTGGTTTTAATAACATAATCTATGAATATATTATACCTAATACTAGTTTCTGGTACAATAGTAAGAGTGTATTGCTCTTGATGTAAACGAGTTTGACAGAATTACTCACACGGAATGTATGTGCGTTAAAAATTACAATTTTGGTGTATTTGGTTTTACACCGCAACATCGTGATAATCCTTTTTACCTAAATTTTTCATACAATCGATTATTAATAGTATTACTTACTGTAAATAAACACTGACTTAGTGCTCAAGAAAAAAAAAACATTAAGAACTCGATACTGCTGATGACTAATCGCTCTTCCACCGACACCGTCATGATCGCAAGAACGTCTTTCCGTAGCAGGTCACTGTTACCCTCCCACGTTTTTCAGCCTTTCGATTTTTAAATTTACCATGCACGACACATTGTATTTTCCTCTCCCCGCTCTCCGGGTATCTTTTGTGTGCTAACACAAATGTGCGAGTAACAATATAAATGATGAAAGAGGAAAAAAACGCATCGATAATATTAAAGTGTTTGTCCATCTGTGCCGACCAAGATTTAGGATACCTGCATGCAGTATGACTCATAATGTGTGCCATTGGTGACTGATACACCGACGGCCATTGCCCGTTTGGAGAAATTGTATCTTTACACTATTATTTTAATGACGCGCGCTCTCAGCTGACGCAATTTTATTTTGTATTTCTATCTCTTGTCTCAATACGTTACAATACAAATTACACCGCACAGTCAACGAATAAACTTTTAATGGCACATGCTGTACGATTAAATGTTCAAGATCGTAAATATTGTCTTTTAAACAATCGTACATTGAATGTACTTGATTAATAACAATATATTGTCATTAATAGAGTGGACCATTGCACCGTAAGTAAATATGTACGTTCCTGTAAATGGTCAGGAAAATTCTGGTCAACTTGATTTATTAAGCAACTGGTTTTTGATAATCTAACATAAAATGCTATTAAGATATTATATTTATATAATTTCGAACTAAATATATAATTAAATAAAAAATTATCATTGAAGAATTATAAATATTTAGTTGTCATTTAATTAATTAGCAGTGCAGTATAAAACGTTAAATAGCTTCAATTGTTGTTGTGTGCACTTCATTTATTCAGATGAGTATATTATTTAAAGTTACTTATTTTAACTTACCATTTTTACTTTATTACTAAAACAGACTTAACAAAACATGACTGCCAGTTAAAATATCAACTGTTCAATTTGTTAAAAATAATCATTTTTTCTTTGTTACACCTTGTGATAATATTTACTGTCAGCAATAAGAGATAATAGTAATTGGAACACATTTATATATAACATATTCGCTACATAATAAAGACTACCTATTTATAGTAATAAATAAGGTTTATTTAGAAGTATTTATCTGAATGCAATGCGTATTGTAAAAACGTATCAGATATTTCATTAAGATTATTTGTGAGGTAAATATTAAAGACACTATTTTCTACGATAAACAATGCTTCGTTATTGTAAATTACAGTTAAATCAATTTATTTGTATAAATTAATTTTCTGTGTAAAATCATTATCACAAATGCGATTGTTTGGTAAAATATTACTATGTAGTCACAGCTAAGTGTTTATGCGCAACTGTAAACAATGGCTGTGTACATTTTATAATATACAATTTTTTAATATTATCAATAAAATGAGTCAATAAAAATATATATTATTATAACTGAAAAAAGTATAACATATGCTTGAATTAAAAAAAATGAATTAAATGATGCGTAAATGTATTGACACCTCATTTGCACCTCTTCTTCCCTTGTCAATATGCAATTAAAAAGATGTTTTAATAGGTCTCATTTCCCAATGGGGAGGTGAAAAGGTGGTGGCATTATTAATTAAACATTAATTCTGTTGGACATATAAATAATTTAAAATATTTTAAATTAATAGATGGAAATTGTACGAAATAATGGCTATATTTTATTTTCTTTAACTATGAATAAGCAGCAAATCGGTCAACTTAGGGCAGTTAAATTATTTATCATTTAAATTTTGTTAGCAGACATGTTGTGTCTAGTGACAATTTTTGTAAATAATTTACTAGTGCTTTATATTGATAAGAATAAAATTATAGTAAATATTTTACTATCTCAAGTACAAACATCGATCCAAGTTAACCCATTTGAGTGTATGTATAATTTTTTGAAAAACCAAAAAATCAATTGTGTTAATTTTTTCGTTTCTACACTAAATGAATATTTCATACTACCATTCTTTGGATTTTTATCGTACTTGAAATTGGTAATTTATACTTGGAATTTTATTTATATTATTTATTTTCAGTAAAGTAATTAAAAATTGATTTGATCAAATATTACCGGTANCTACCATTCTTTGGATTTTTATCGTACTTGAAATTGGTAATTTATACTTGGAATTTTATTTATATTATTTATTTTCAGTAAAGTAATTAAAAATTTATTTTTTTTTTTTAGATAACAAATCAATCTGTTTTTTTTTTTATTTATAATTATCATATATTTCAAGTACTCTTAAAACAAGAGTTGTTCTTAGAAAATTAATTGTCTCAGTGTATAATAGTCGCCAAGTATATACATAAAATTACTCTTTTCTCGGGGGGTGTTTGCAATGAAATGGGTCTCCCAAGTGGGCCTCCAGGTGTGCCGAGGGCTGGATTTTAGGGGCAGCTCTTACGGACGCCGCCCAGTAATCGCAGCGATTGGCCCAAAAAAAGCGCGGGATCGCGTCCCGCCGAAAAACGTGGACCGCGCATCCCGCAACCCATGCTCGGGTGGCGATGTTTGCCGGGTGCGTTGTGGCAGCTACGACGGCGGTCGTTCGCGGTGACTTGGCCGACGTGGATTTCAGTATCGTATCCGACACAGAGTTGTTTGGTGGTGCGCTGTTCCTCCGGGTTAGCACCAGAGTAGCACGTCGCTCGACACATCCGCCGCCGCCACCGCAGCGCTCGACGTCGCCGTCATCATTCTTAGTACACACACACGCGCTCCACGCGACACTCATCGGAACATTGGGCTCGACCACACGCTCGAGCACAAGGCTCTTCAGTCGTTGGACCACGCGCTGCTCTTCCGGGTGTCCAGTGAATCGGTTACCTCTACCCGAGTCGCTGACAAATATCGTCGAAGTGTTTTATAAAAACTTATTTGTGAATTTTATTTCATTTGTTTCGCGTGTTCGGACATTTATTGAACGTGATAAGTTATTTTTTTTTCAAACAGTGTTTATTTTTTAAAAAAATATATTTTTTTAAATTGGCAAGAAAAAAAAAAAATTATGGCGATACCATTTAATTTGCCGACCGAACGCGATGCAGAAGATCATCATTATTTGAGAATTGAGAATTTGCTCAAAGAATTGCTTACACTGCTCAGATGGACTCCTTGGACTTCTTTAACTGGTAAGTTTATTTCATTTTTTTACTTAGAAATCTTTCATCCTCCATTCAATAATTTATTGATTTTAATTTTTTTCCCATACAAAAATAAAATTTTTATTTTTTAACTTTATTAAAAATAACTTTAATATTTTATTGATACTAAAATCAAATTAATTTGTAGATTTATATATATTTTTATTTTTTTTGAAGTCGCCAATGAATATGTAAATATTATCAATAATTTTAGAAAACTATTATAAAATATTTTTATTTTAAACATTTGATAATTAATAAGAAAATTATAAATTTATTACGAAATAATTATTTTACATTATGCTAGAAATAATATATATTATTTTTTTCTTTCGTTTTGAATATTTAACTATTACTTAAAATTAACTTTAAAAAAATCTACATCATTTTGAAATTATTTACCTTCAAAAATTATAATAGTTAAAACAAACGCGAAAAATTAAAGTAATTTCAACGAGGGAATTAGAAAAAAATATATTAATACCATTGATTTTTCGTTCGAGTCACAAACGTTTCTTGTAAGAACCTGTCATTTTTTAAGGTCACCCACCCGGCGAACACGTCGAATTGTGCGCCTTCTCAATAATAGACTCGCACATACACTGATCTCACAAGAATATAATAGACAGCGATGACAGTTAAGTGTGAACGACCCGCGGCCTTCCAGTATCTGACGTTATTGTACTTTTTAGTTTTTCTCATAAAAAATAAAAAATTAAACATAGCTTGATGAAAAATTAGCAATCGCGATATGTTTATATATTTTTCACATCTTAAAAATTTTTATTTAAAAACATTAAAATTGTTTTAAAATATATTTTTTTTCTTGATTAAAATTTTAGTTATTACAAAAAAAAAAAATAAAACTCTCAACCGGTAGGATATTAATTGCTAATCTTACAAATGAAATCATTATTTTACAATTAACCGTCTTGTGCCTTGCCATATCGCGTTGCACGATAAGTTGGCCCGTGAGCGATGCAAGTGTGCGGTACGCGTGACACAATTGTTCGCCATGTGTTTTTTTTTTTTTTTTTTACAAGATATGTAGAAAAAATAATAAATCCTTGTAAAAATGTGTCCCTATTGTTTTACGTTCGAGGTAGTTGTTTGACAGTGTTCCGCCAAGGACTCTGTTCCTTTGTGCTGATACCGCGCGAGTGTCGCTCGAATCCATTTAATTAACGGCAAAGACGTGTAGTACATTTTCCGGCAATCTTATTCGTAGATTTGTTTATTTACCTGGTTTTTTTTTCTCAGGTGTAACAGTTGAATCGCTGACCAACACCACCACTCAATCCAGTGCCACGAACACCGCTACCGCAACGGCCACCACGACACAACGCCGCAGGCAGACAGTCCGCGGGCCAGACCATCACAGGCGATCCGCCTCGGCCCAGCAGCAACAAATGCCGGACTTGGTCACATCGTGTTCTCCTGCCAAAGGCGAAAAGAAACCCTCGAGAACCGTATTCCTGCAAGTCGAACTGTGCCCCAAGTGCTATTACAACGGGCAGAAATTAAAAGTGGTTGGAGTGACAAAGTTGGAAAAAACATTACCTTCGGCGGAAGACCAACAAAATTTACTGACCAGAATCTCCGCCGAACCTATCACAGACGTAAGTACAAGTGACATTTATTTTTTTTTACCTCTGAAATTCATCGTCATAGTGTTAACTAAAAGTATAAAAAAAAACTTTCAGTCGGTAGTTGTGTTTCATAGTTTGGTTTTTTTATTTTACAGGCGGAACAATTAACGAAAAAAGACAGTTCAAAAGTAAAAAGACGACTCATGTCTTTGTTACAACCTTCAAAAATAGACTCGTCAATACTCACAGCCGTATTTGTAATAATCGGCTGGAAGATGTTCATCAAACAATAATAATTTCAAAAACGTCTCACGTGCCAGTGGGAAAAAATCGAGAGAGAAAAACCCAATTTAACTATCAAAAGACTCTAGAGTTCCAGTCATGGTTTTAGTGACTAAAAACAATTAATATTATGCTAATCAAATCGACCGTTGATCTCATTGCTTTACTGAATTGTGAGATGATCTGCAACCGTAGCCAAACAATTTTTGTATTAAGGTTTAAGTTTAGTCTTATTATTATTTCTCAGAACACATTTTAAATGTTCATTTTAACTTTGTATATTTTTTTTTTTAACTTAAGTGTATAATTTTATAATTTTTTTTTTTTGTAATTAATCTCTCTATCTATGCTTTTTCTGTTGTATTTTAATATCGTTTCACATGGAAATTCTGCGGTTTCAGTCCCAGATCTGTTCACATTTTGATCTCGTTTTTTAAAGCTATGGCTTTCTGAACGGCATAGTCCCGGCGACTTATGTTTTCGGGCCTATGAATTAGTACGAAACGCTGTAATAATTTTTTTATGATCACTGTATATAATATATGCGTTTTATTTTTTTATAACACGTACTTTTCATTATTTTCCATTTCATTTATTTTACCGTAAAAAAAAAAAAAAAAATTTTCAAATAAACAATCATCCGTATAACATTCTGTGGACGTTTTTCTCTTGTTTCTCTTGGTTCTGAGTGATGGGGTTATATGAACTCAAGTTCATACGAAGATGTAGGAAAATCGTGTTGGTACATTAGCCAATATCGATAATTGCGTAGTGTAAATATAATGAATTAACGCTTGTTGGATTTTATCATAACAATACGTGCATGTGTATTTTTTTCTAATAATTTTTTTTTTTATTGTATTTTTTAATTTTTTTTTTTTTTTTATGAAAAGCATTTCTGTGGTGATTAAAAAACATACGAACGTCCCGGGTCGTTGATAATAATAGTACGTATCGAGCTTAAACTACACTCCAAGCGAATTTGTTCTTCTTGGGCGTTCCTAATGTTTCGCCCATCAAAGCGTTTCTGTGATCATGCCATTTTTTTTTATGAATGATATGAATTATATATTTATCGAACGAATCAATGGCATTGAACGTGTTTTAATAAATCATATACATTTTGTACATTAAGTTAAAAAGAAAATGATATTTATAAATAACTATTAACGATTTTTTGATCTCTTTTCGTAGCTATTAAGTAGTGTTTCTAGATATTAGTATTATTCATTAAGTACTCGTATTGATTAAGTTGAACATGTTGATGTTAAATATTGTTAATTGAAAATGATCATCTCTCGTTTCGGTTTACATTATGTAAGGCATTATGAACCATAATGACACAATACTTGGTCGCGTTAAAATTTTTATAAAAATAAACAAAATAAATTATTGTCAAAAGACTTGATATAAGCGTTTTGTGATTCGAAATTTTATTATTATAGAAATAGATTTTTTAAATATTTATTTTAATATGTACATACACAATAACATTTTGCATACACGTGAAGATATTTATTTTAAATTTTATAATGTATAAAAAATCAAACTGTTAAACGTTGTAAAATATTGATGTCAATTAGTATTTTTTCGGTCTCGTGCAGGATAATTGTATCATCTAACGTGTTAGACATAACCACCCCAAGTACTCCTAACAAACCGCTGTCATTAAACTCTAATTGTATTCATACCCCGTCTTTAGCATAGTAACGTTTAAGTCCAATAGTTGTACTACTGTATAGCTATTTTTTTTTACATGTATTCAGCGTGGCACACCTTTGAGGCGTCTGCTGCATCTTGCTACCATTGTCTTTCTTTGTATAATATATTGTTTTTAAACCGAAATGAATTATTATATCTTATTGTCCGAGTGGATCATATTATTATTGACGAAAAACAAAAATAAAAAATTTATTATTATAAATAGAAATTCGCAGTGTTCAATTTTGTACTCTCCTACATTCTTCCTTTTCCAAAACACAACTCGACAAATTAGTGTCCAATACGAAAGCTGAGTGTGGACTACTGGTCTGTAAAAAACTGTCTGTGCACAGTCGACCACGTTGAACGGGAAACGCCGCAAATGGCACCCACGAAAAGACCATATTATTCGTAACCGATGACTCCGATAAGACACCGTTGTGTACACCGCGAGGGCCACGGTAGCTGCCCGTTGACCGCAAACCTGGTCCGTCTTGCGGTGACCTGTCGATGTGGTCTTCCGATGAAACAGTCACGAAGACGACCCACACGCGTTCTTCTGACCGGTTCCATGCAGTCCGCGTGTAATAAATTACAATACTGTGCGCGTATCATAATAACAGCGATGGAAACGATTCTATTGAAGACCGTCGTGGCGTAGCGCGTGGCCATAGCGGTCGTGCATTACTTTTTTACCACTGCATTCGATCCCAGCGAAAAACGGGTGAATCGCTGCGAGACGACGGTAAATGTTTGTGTGTTTTTTTTTTACAAAACTGATTTGTTTTACGAGAAAACAGGCTCCGGGTCGGGTGTTACCGACCGCCCGGCTATCAATACCATTACACGGACAATTAAACGGTCGTTAATTGCGATCGGTGCGTGTTAAAAATATCACCATGGTCAGTGTGTGTGCGCGTACAGTGTTGGATAAAACAAAAGCGTTACAACAATATCTTTTGCGGGTCGATGTACCGATAAAAAATGTCCGCGGTCAAGACAAATAAACAATATCGACGCGTAATGACAAACCGCTCACTGTATTTGTTCAGCAACTGCCTGTGCTTATATTACGAATTTGCATATTTCTTTGAGAACGGCGTCATTTGTGTGCAGAACATATTTCATTAGCCGTGTCTACAGTCCAGGTGGCCTATTCGTGCGCCGCGATTTTTGCATAGTACTAACAATTAATCAGTGCTGCGAGTTCAAAAAAAAAAAAAAAAAAAACACCAGTCGTTTATATGTACAATATCGTTAGCTGTGACAGCTTATGAGTATTATATTTATTACGTATTTAAAGACAAACATTGGATCTTTTTACTTATTTCTTTATCGCTGCCCTTTTATGGTTACTAATATAACTTCTATTTTATAAATTGATTGTTATACTACCTAATTATAGAGAATATGTAAAAAAAGTGTATTTCATTCGCATAAATACTTAATACCGAGGAAGTAGTTACACTTAGAGTATCATCATTTTGTCTTTTAAAAACAATATTTTTTTTAAGTTTTTTTGAAAATGCTATAAGATGTATAATGACATTTTAGATGTTTTATACGATACTTATTTATCTAAAAAATACAACACGCTCTGAACATAAAAAGCTGAAAAAAGGGAATCGCGACATTAAAAACTTTAGTTTTGATAAAAATGAAGTTTTTGGATAAACTTTTTTAACTAGAGTAACTTTGTTGTTGTGTGATATTTTAGTGGTGAAAATACTTAAAAAAGTCATAATACAATTTTAATAATTCTAACGAAAACGATTTCTTCTCGAATAATTATGAAAATGATTAATTGAACTAAATAAGCGTACGTTATAGACCAAGTGTTGTTTGTGATGATTTATATTTGAGATAATAGAAATGCGTAAGATTGAAAGTCAATTTTAATGAAATGTTTCTATTTTATTGTATTGGAGTACTACCATTTGTCATAATGTTAGCAGTTGGCCGTTTAAGAAAGTAGAAATATGAAAATATACAATTCAATTAATAACAATTACTTGGTGCGTACAGTAAAACTGTGGCCATTGTATCAAATTTTACGGTACTTGTTACATTGGCGTTAATGATAACTCTGTCGATTGTAATTTACATTATAAAAAGTGTGCTGAGACTGTTGTGACAACGACTACGGTCGAGACATGGTGCAAACAATGTGGCGCGATGGGTTTTGATTAACTGGTCGTTAGCGGATCTAGTGCCATTAGCCGAGTGCACAAAGAAACCATGTTGTTCTCCATTAACGCCTACTCGGCGACCAGCTCGTTGTAGTTCTCGAAAAACGCCACAAAATCCGATAGTACAAAACCTTGACCGTTACTAGCGTAATTGGTTCATAACTAAAGATATTATATTACCCAGATAGGTATAAAACAGTGTTTCTGTGGAGTTCACATTCAACGGCTCTGTAATGTTATTCAGCCATACGCCTCCGTTTTTCCAGTGTACGTGTATTTTTCGATAAATATGTACATAATATTATTTGTTACCTTGTATTCATCATCGGTATCATTTTTAAATACAAGTATAAACTAAATCGAGTTTGGGTTATGCTAATAATTATATTTTCCACTTTCTAACAGAACACCCGACATTTGTCATTAAACCTTTAAACTTATGTTAAACAAAGAAAAACTATTAATATAAAGACAAAGTAAAAACGAGCGCCTTGTCGCAGATAATATCAGTACAACACACGAATTCCAAATTAGCCATAAATCTTTAAACCAAATTCGTATTTAGCGTGGAATCTATTCCCATAAACTGTCGGTATTGAATGCAAAACAGTAATTTAAATACAGATAGGAATAGTTTTAAGATACAGTTACTTGTATATAATTCTAAAGTGATTATTAACACGGTAGCCTTGAACTTGCGAACGAGTAAGATTTCATATAAAATTTACACATTCATAAACTTGTACGCATTGAGTATAACACTTTTAATTAAGCATTTGATGAATCGGAGAACTATTTTATGTTTTCCTTCGTTATCCAATCGCACCTAGTATCAAATAAATTCATGTTCTTGGTTACTTTTTAAACATTTATGTGTTGAAAAAAAAAATAAAGTGGAGTTACTTAGATAATTTCATTTTCATGTTTTTCCGCGACAAGAAACTTTTCTGATAAACAACGCGTAAAGTTTCCGAGGACAACAAAAAGTATTTAAATATGTATGAAATTAAAAACCAATTATTTTATTTAAGAAATCTAAATCGACTTTTAAGTTAAAATTCAAGAATAAATTAAAACAAGAGGATATAGGTTTACGCTTGTTTATAGTGTTGTGCATTTTTAATGTTAGAGCTCCTGTTGTTAGTAATTCAAAAGGATTACAACCATAAACAAAGGGGAAGTGAACAGTTGATTAAAAGATTATAACGTTCGTGTTGATATTTAAAAGCTAAATAATGAAAGTGTTCAACTCGTCGGTAGAAATTCTTAATTAAGAATATAAAATTCTGTAATACCGTAAGTAAAGGGTAGGTTTCTTGGAAATTCTATTAAATTTTATAATCCTTCATACCTTTGGAGCGTCAAAGGGTTATTTTGACGCCACGACGTAACACTATCAAAGAAAGCGTTGGATTTTCGGAAATATAAATTAATAATTGAATTGAATTTGTAGCACATAGAGTTTTAAAAGATTAAATAATTTTCTTATGTGTAGTCGGTGTGATCGCAACTCGTTGGTGGGTTTCAAATTCTCAATGGGTTCTTGATCTCAAAGCAAAAGCGATTTACTTTAAAACCGAAAAGCTAATCATGCTGTGATTCTCATTAGGTCGTTTAAGTCTCTATAAATCCGTTTACGCGGATTTGGGTGTTTCTCACTGGAGAATTTTCGTTGCAAGACAGTTATATTATCAATATGCAAGAGACATGTATGCTTCCGTTTGAGTACAACCGACGTGTACAAATGAAGCAGAAATAGTAAATGAATTTGGTTTTTTCGGCAACGTGTCGTAAATCATCGGAGGCGCATCCCTATGACAGCTACGGTAATGGCTTTAAAAATAAATTTCAACAAACGAATTTCGCGATGCATTGTTGCCCGTAGTAGCTCTTGTTATTTGTAGGCCCTTCACCCCCACGAGACCGCCGTGTCGCCCAAGTATTATCTTATCCGTCGTCGTCGATAAATAATGAATATTCGTCGGCTGATTTTCGTTTTTTTTTTTCAAGCTTATTATTGTGTTACTGGGTGGAAGTTTTTTGCACACGCCACAAACGACGAGTACGCCAGAACAGACCCTGTCAATGACAATAGCCGTCTCGTTCAAGGATCATCGGTTGTTCTACCGTAATGATGTGCCTGCGTATCAGATGACGATATATTCATATTATAGAATAACCTTTATTAACTATTTAATGGTAAACACTTGGCTATTGTAAGTGCTATCGTGAAAAATGAACGTTATGATTCGGTCGTACGCGACGGAAGTTTTTTGATGGTTTTCAAAATAATAGCTAAGATTTTAAATTGATAAAACTAACACTCAGATAAAATAAAAATACTGCACGGCAGTTATTTTAATTTTCCAAAAAACTGTCGATTACACTAGATAAGTTTAATTAAACATTTATATTTTGATTTGATAGTATAAAATTTGTCGGGCTCGTATTTCTAGTTGATATAGTTGACATGTAATAAATTCATTAGGTTGGTAGTTAGTTTGCAGCAACAAATTTTGTACGTGCACTTAATATTTTAAAGTAGATATTTCCAACGTGAATTATCGGTCGATTATTGGTAATTATAGTATTTTTTATTATTTTTTTAACCGATGATTTACAATATCTTTGTATAGATAACAAAGTTCATTTCGGTTGAACGATGCAGGTCACAAAAAATAATTAAAAAGATTATTCTCTTGACGTTAAAAAATAGACCTCCCGACAATCACACCAGTGGACCAAATACTATTGATATTTAAAAAGTGATTATTTTCGTTGTACATAAAAAATATAATATTTTATCACATGTAAAGTTGTGAAGCCATTATGTGACGGCCATTATAAAAATGTAAATGATTCCGTTTACACAACACTGCATTGCAATTAAAATTATATGGGTAATCTACACTGTAATCAGACATCGTGTTGATCCTAAAAATGTACAGATAACGGACCGTTTTTAATGTTTTCAAAACAGAATGATAATTAAATGATTATTAAGTAGTCCAAATGAGTTTTAAATTTATTAAACAACAAACGAACGAGGAAAAAGTGCGCTTATGCAGTTTATTGTACTGTTTAAAAAATATTATTAAGTAATTATGAATAATATATGCAGAGCAACTCTATCCAAATGTGAAAAATAACGTCTGGACATGCTATCAATTTCATACGCTGTTTGTTAATCATTTGTGGTATATGGACGTAATCGGCGTACTAATAAACATTTATGAAACAGTTATTAATTTTTTTTTTCTTATTTTAATAAAATAAACTACGTTGGATTAACTGTTTGAAATAATAATTAAATATAAACTAGCTGTTGTTTAATTTAATAAACAATGAAAAATAAACACTCGAATAATTGTTAGAAATACATTTTTTCCTTCATTTTTGTTGAAATTAAACATTCAAATATTGGCATGTTCCATGTTCATATGAATAAATTCCCGTTAGCTTTTACTTACATGGCAGTCGGTTAATGAAATGAGTACTAATTTTCAAATATACATAATTTTCTAACAGGCAGTTTGTGATGACATTTACGTTCAGCCTCTAGAAACACTAATATGTATGCCTGCTCGGTCGTATGTTTGAATTTCGAAAATAGTGCATTAACTAAATTGACGACCCGACCCTTTGGGGGTTGTCGCGCGCAAAAGCTAATTGCTATTAACCAAGATCTGTAAACCTTGAGCACATCGCCACACGTTGTTCGTTAACCGAAATGAACTGTCAAGAGGTTACCGTGGGCATTGTCAAACGAGTAAACGCATTAATCATCGTCGGCGCGTGGTCCACGGAGGGACTGAGTAAGTCGAGGAGAGAGAGCACGGGAGAGAGAGAGAGATAGGGAAAATTATCTTATCTCAAGACTATGTGACTGCGCCACAGTAGCGCAGAGGGGGAAATGGATACGCAATTTTTAGACAGACGAAGACTTAATTAATTTTGCACCTTCCCCTTTTATCCAATTTTGTCTTTCCCACTTGCATACTATTCCCCATTGCGATTACACTTTCTGAGTTTACCTATGCAGAACACTGCGATTAATCATTCGAGTAAACTTTCCGTGTATTGTTTTATACCACCATTATCTTTACCGCGACATCCAAGTGTCTCTCTGTAATAAGATTTGCTTGGTAAAGTACTGGAAAAATGTTTCCACTCGTTTCTGGAAACATATTAATTATGTTAGAAAAGCGTCTTCTTCATAAACAATTTTCTATCGATTTTATAACCTAAAGGTTGAAAAATAAAACTGGCGGCTTAGATTAGATTGGTTTGTTCCAGCGAGGTGTTAAATCGTTAACAGTATTATCGCCATGTTATATATTTATTTTATTACACTGTACATGAATAGTAAGATCATTACTTGAAATTTTTTTTTTAAAGAAACATCACATAATTTAATATCTTATCGCTTTAGCCGTAGAACTATTTTTGTTATTTTACCTGCACGTGTGATATTAGAGATACTAACACTATAATCACAATTCGGTCACTTTTTTTTTTACAACTTTTTATATTGTTAACATAAATAGTTATAAATCATAAATTACACTCTCTCCAATAAAGATTTTTAAATAAAAATTTATTATCTTCTTTTAACATTATGAAATATTGAAGGTTAAGTCTTAATTTGATGAAAAACAAACATTCTTGAGTTAAGTTTTTTTAACACAATATTTAATAGTATTAGCATTGGTGCGAAGCTGAGAAGGTATTAATTTTTTATTATTATAAGCACTGTAGACATTGTTAACAATATTCTTTTTTATTGCTTATAAGGCTTTGATCATTAGTCAAATTATTTCATACTAATTACACGCATATTTCGCTATTTTCATAATATATTTTGGTCAATATAGAAATTGAATAAACACACTAAACGTCAAGTCTAAGAACATAATAAGAAGTAATAATAATATAAATACACAGTGTNTATCTTCTTTTAACATTATGAAATATTGAAGGTTAAGTCTTAATTTGATGAAAAACAAACATTCTTGAGTTAAGTTTTTTTAACACAATATTTAATAGTATTAGCATTGGTGCGAAGCTGAGAAGGTATTAATTTTTTATTATCATAAGCACTGTAGACATTGTTAACAATATTCTTTTTTATTGCTTATAGGCTTTGATCATTAGTCAAATTATTTCATACTAATTACACGCATATTTCGCTATTTTCATAATATATTTTGGTCAATATAGAAATTGAATAAACACACTAAAAGTCAAGTCTAAGAACATAATAACAAGTAATAATAATATAAATACACAGTGTGATTCTTTTAATGCTAACCATTCAATTTCTCTTAAAATAACCCTTTTGACAGATTTTTTTTTTTTGATTTTGTTAGTTACATATGTATTTCATTATTTGTTAAAAAATAATTTTTAGGTCCATCCCATTTATCGTATGAGGGTATGAACTTTATATATAAATGATAACTAGTTTATAAAATAGAAAATGACTGATTAAAACTTTTGTACCAATACTTTGAAAGTTATTAGCATTTTAAAAATTTTAAGTTTATTTAATACAAGTTTTTAGCCATTAACGCCCAGTTATTTTAATGTTACAAATATTTTTAAAACTATTACCTGCATTTGAGTGCTGTTTGCTTTATGTGGAATCTTGAATATGTTTGTACTTTCAGATACCAAAAAGTAAACTTTTAACATCATTAAAAGTAGTATTTAGTATCATTACATATACTATCTATTAAAAAATGATTATGATACATCAAAAAAACCTTTTGCGATTATTTTATAAATAATATATAAATCTATCGATTTACATTTTCTAAATGGTTTTAAGAAAAGTACTGAGTAAAAAATTATTCATACAATTTTCAGTTAATTTAATAACACGCTTGCAAAGTTGTTTTATTAATTTGATATGTTTTCAAATCAATTTTATTTTCTATCACTTATATTGTCTTATTTTATTATGTACAAGTTAAAATTATTTTGATTATATACATTTTAAAATGGCGCATATGATGTTTCATATCAAGGGGAATAGCTTCGTGGTATAAAATTATTAAATAAATTAAATAACATATTTAAAAATAACGTTTCTGTTCACAACGTTTGATTTTTCTCACGATTCTCGAACAGAACTCGGGCGATCCTATGACATCACCCAAAAACACACTGAGCATGTAGTACTTCTTTTTTGGTTCTGCTGCCTCCATGTAACCACTGTAATGGACATTATTATTGTTATGAATTAAAATAAAAAAAACACTTTAATAATACTCGACAAGATTATTTTGTTGATATACCTAATTATTTTGTCCCAGTCCATTTTATCTTCTTTATTATTACTTTTGTTCAATGCAGTCTTTTCGGCATATGCTTTGCATACTTTTTCATAAACGCAAGCGTCTGGTCCCATTTCTTTGAGAATCATATCTTGTGCTTTAAGTATGTCGAACCTGTGGTCCATTACATATTCACTTGATACCTCTCGTTTGGTTTTTGATCTATAAGTGCCTGAGCACACAAAAAGAAACAACATTTAATGAACCATACTTATTTTACTATTGTAATATTAATAATTGTCTATAACAACTTAAGTAAAGTTCACTGTTTTACGCAATCGAATTGTTATATTAACACACACTTTAGTCTTAGAAACATACAAATGGATTTAGAACTTGGATTTAACGCTGTTTGCGTAACGTCGGCCATTGGTCACGTGCTGTTGCCGTCGTTGTTCTAACGTAATGCATTTACTCCATTAGCACAGTGTCCTCTTTATTAGATAATAATAATTAGACACTGTTGAATACTTGTCTACTAAATATCGTGAACAAAAAGTACCTACAAAAAATTCGTTGAACTGCTATAGATTCCCATTGAATCGTCCTTTCNGAAAATTCGTTGAACTGCTATAGTTTCCCATTGAATCGTCCTTTCACATTTATTCAACATTTTAAATGAGTGTTAATAGCTGTGAATCACTTTAAATTGCTTATTTTGCAATTAAAATGTAATTTCACGACCACTTTTGCCATACTATGGTAAATAGTTTACGTGTTGGTGGAATTATTTTTGCTTTTCGAGTTTCATACTCAAAATAGTAGGAATGATTTTATTTCTTAATATTTTACAGTAAAAGGGTTACAAAATTAGTTAGGAAATTTAACCATGTGACCGACAAATTATACTCAATACAGTCATAAACAATACATTCAATTATGCCAGAAGGTTATTGAATGTATCCAATAGCCTTCAGTAATTGGCGAGTATAACAAAAATTGAGTAGATAATCAATTTGTACTCTGAAGAAATTAAATTATTATAAAACATAAACGACGTAATAAGAACTCGAAGTATATTTTATCTGTAAACATTTTTTTTTAACGAATACATAATAAAAATTTATGAGTATAACATACAGGGTATAGATACTTTGTCAATTAGACAGTCTGTATTTTAATAGTATACTTAGATGTGTTTTTTACTATCGACTCGGTTGGATTACATAGGTATTGTGTAATGAATAAATTGGTACTAGTTTCAACGTAACATTAAGTATTTCTAGTGTGCACGTAATCGCGGATAAAAACAATCTAACATGACATGGACAAGAATTTTGCATAGTCGTGTCAAGAAAATTATACTTAAACAGCTAATATTATTTAAAATATATTGATTGTAATTAATAATATACTTGGATATGTAAATAATTTCATTATTAATTTTACTATTCATGCATAAGATTTGTCCAAGAAGATAAATTGTAAGATATCTATCAAAAATCAATATTATAGAAATTAACTTTTGCGTTAAACAAATAAATAATTAGCATAAAAGTCTACAAAATATTGTCAATGTTTGGTTTCATAGTGAGTCAAGTAAATATTCGGACATAGTCTAAAAAAAGTAATTTGCTTCGCAAACTACCTCTTTGCAAACTATTTACAGTCTTAAAGACTTCTAAGTGAGGTTAACACCATTAGAAAAATGTGTTAAACGAGTGACTAAAACGTACTCAAAGGTCTGAAGACGATGTCAGTTCGAGAGACAAATTATTTTTTCTAGACGATATTCGAATATTTACTGTATATATATATAATATCACATAAATCTGAGATTTTAAAATAATGAATTTTATTTAAAAATTTAATTCATAATAGTGAACATTTTTGTAAAATTAAAAATAGAAATGAAAAAAACTTTAAAATTGATTTATAGCTGTAAAAAATTATATATATATTATTAGCAAAAATATGCAAGTGCTTAGCCTTAAAAAAAAAAAAAAAAAACAATTGTTTACAGAACTATTGATGTTTGGTAAATATTTTTATAAATAATTTCTTTACACAAGTAAACTTGAAAAGGTTACGTATTCGAAGAAACTTGACATTTAATATGTCGCCCGAAGTTTAAAAAATCTATTATGCGGTAAAATTTCATCTTATAACTGTGCAATAAATACTTACTAGGACTTAAAGTGTAGTAGAGTTTTTTGACAAAATTTGACATTTTCACGGCCATGATGATGACCGGAAACCCAATAAGCTGCACGGGCAATTCGAATGGGCTGTCTTGAGCTACTGCTCCAGTAGTTTTCCACGGAGTATCCACAGTAGCTATCAAAAGTAACGTTTGGGCGACCAATAGGCCGGCAATGGCAGTAGACGGCACGAGCTGTTTCATGTCGGAGATTCACGGAGCACTGACGACAATTACAGAAGGTGAAAGTGGACGATTGGCGGGCCGTCGGCTTTTTGGCTAAAAACGAAAGTACCTCGCGGTGTGGATAAGTTATATTATGCAATCGCGTGGAACCTTGAAAAACCGGGTAGTGTGGTGGCGCCGGAAGTGGGAGTTGTGTTTCCCATCGCAATCAACGACCGTAATCACCTAACGTGTCTTTGGGATTTCCGCAATGAAGAAACTTACTTCCTCTGTGGCGAAAGTTCCGTCATTCGGTTTGTCTATGCGTAAGCCGTACCTCTGTAATCAAAGGGGCTTTTGAGTGGCAAATAAAATCATTTTAAAATTAAGGCCAAGGTCAATGCTGAATGATTTGCAAAAAAGTATTCAATGGTGTAGTGCATCTTTTGTTCCGTACGATTTATCACGTAGGTTTTCCTCAACCTTGCACAAATAAATTTTAATTACAGGAAAATTTAGGTCGGGTTACAATTTTTGTTATATAGAAAATTAAAGTAAGAGCACAGTCGATGTTAAGTTATTGTTCGAACTTAATGTTGCTTAATGTTCAGTGACTAATGCACTTATATGGTACAGTAGAGTGCCTTTGAGCTTTTTCTGTATTTTGGTGTGATGATATGTCTATGACAGTATTTAATATACAATTTATTTTATGCGGCCAAGATGTCTAATAAAATTTTTGTAGGAAACAAAAACAAAAATCTATGTGATTTAATACTATTGACTGGTTGGGTAATCATATTAGTTATAATTACATTACTCATTATATTGAAATTGAAATTTTTTAAAATTATTTTAAAAATTTGATAAACAATTTTTTTTTTTTTGATTTTATTATTAACATTACTTTTATCAGAAGATATTCAATTTATTATAATATAAACGAATATTAAAAAAACGATTTATTATTCATATTACTTATAATAACTATTACTTTTTTGGGTTGGTACATTCATAATCCATATTTTATTAAAAGAACTCAAAATTTAATTTTGAAAAAACAATAGAACTATCTTGTTTTTGTATTAAGCTCTTAAATGTCTTAATTGTAATGTAATATAATCTAAATTTTTGTAACATTTAATGTTACTTTGAGAATTTTAGATATTTTATAATCATTTAGGCAATGTGCTTAATTAATATATTTCGCTTCAGAGCATTAAAATATTATGATTATTTCATTTTCTAATTGCATAAATAAGTATGTGATTAAATATTAAACAGAAATTTTAATTTTAATTTAATATAAAAATTGATTTTATGTAGCTTAATTGGCGTTACTGTTAAAAAGATGTTTCGTCATTAGAACAATTATATTTACTAATAAGTGACGTGTAATAATAAATCATACATTTCGAATATTCTCTATCTATTTATCTACCTACAGCATTATTTTTTTTAGCTTCGATGTGAACTGAGAAGGTACTAATTTTACCATGATGTGTTTATTTATTTTTAAAAAATTTTTTTTTTGTCTGTCACTACTCTTTCTCAGCTCTTACTCGACCGACTTTTCTCAACGATACGTCAAAAGATCACAAATCGCATTTAGTTGAAGATATTACCCTCAAAAATTGAAAATTTTGCCCTCGTTCCCCATAATTGGTGAAAGTCCCCCAAGAAATTACGATTTTTTTTCTCAAAATTGCCATAACTTTTTGAAAATGAACAATTTAAAATAATTTTTTTTATATTGAAACCTTAGATATTTTTCTTTCATTTGATATACATTTTTTGAAAATCTGACCTTTTACCTGCCGACAGGGAAGATTAAAAATAGCAACTTCTGCACAAAAATTTGTCTTTTTCAACTAAAGTTTTGAAAATGTTTCGTAAATACTCCGAGATTCAAACATATATTAAAGTAAACCTAATGTTATGTACTATAATAATGTACTATGTACTATAATCATGGAATAGTTAAAAAGTTTACTTTAATGTTTTTATAATTCAGAATATTAAGTCATTTGAACGTAGTAATATTAAATTATTTAATAAATGACTTTTTTTTAACTAATATATCGATTAATATTATGAATTACAAAGATATAAGGGTCTGAAGATACTACATTTCAGTCGCCCCAAGATTTTTTTGTTAATTATTAAATATATACATACATTATTATAATTTGGTTCTTTAAAGTAAATAAACTTTATTTCTTTGAAGCAACTCAAATGGTTCTTATGTGATTACGAGCGTTATTAGAGAAGTATCAGATCTTTATAATAATAAATCCTTCCAATTTCACTAAAAGTTCGATTTATTTTTATAAACTTACAAATATGTTTTAGATTTGGCAAATAAAAATATAGCCCATCCAAATATTTTATTCTAATTGCTCCTATTTTTGGTGTATGTTTCTTTAATATTTAATTTTGTTAAAATTCTATATTATTCAAAATGTACAGAAATGTTCGTAATATTTTTTAACGTCGTTCACTGATTTATAAACGTATTTTGTTGCTGTGTAACGCTTGAGTTTATGGTTAAATGCAGGTCATTAAATTGCATATCTTTGATCGTAATTATTCAAAAACCATATAGTCCGAGATAAAATGTATCAATGTAAGTGTTTATAACTGTCTAGTCTAATAATCTAAAATCAACGTACTGTAGAAATGATGTAACTTTCTATATGAAATTTATATAATCGTAAAGTAAGAGTTTAACTGTCTTTGTTTTTATAGATTGTATTGGTAATTTAATGTTGAGCTTATTGGCTCACATAATTACAACAACAAAAATGTACTGCATAAGTTCCATATGTGTTATATATGGCAATTGAACATGCTCCAGCTGACATGAGTAACATTTATTGTTTTATTTTTAAATAATTCAAATTAGTTTTAAATTTTTTTTAGTGACACGTAAATATTTTTCAAACAATACTTTGAAGCCAATTGTTTACAAAATACATAGAAAAACTAAATGGATCAATTTGAAACAGTGACGCAGTAGAAGTTCACGTCGGTTGCGTTTGTTTTATTCGAATTGGATCAGACCAAATATATCAATATGTCTATCGGCCAACAATGATGTCATTGTGAAAGTTCAGATGCAAAAAAAAATCCTCCAAAACCGTTTCGATTGAGTGGGCGATCTCCGGACGAAGGCGTGTAATATTTTCGCAAAAAACAAAGCGTAGGAGGCAGAAGAAAGAAATTACATTGACCAGATCGTTGCAGGTTTATCCATTCATTTAGAATCAGTTCGTAGTACAATTCACTAGCAAGTAAACAAACATGTTATTATTTTTGTGTTGTGCTTTGACGTTAAGCGCAGGAGCTATTGCTGATGATTCGAGTAACAATACGCTAAAACACAGTGTGGATGATTTTGTCGGGTAAGCTTATACAATGCATATTACTTTAATTTAACATTATACTTGAACTTTATAAAGTCTTTTTATATTAACTCATGATAANTCTTTAACTTTATTAAGTCTTTTTATATTAACTCACGATAAACATTAAATTATAACAAATCGTTTTGAAGACTGATTAGGTGCAATTTGACGTTTAGGTTTCATTTTTTTGACTTTTTAATCGAGTTTAATACTTTTAATTATTATAAAGTGTATTTTTATTTTGCAATTATCTTTTTTCAGATCTTTGATGCAAATGATTGGGTCGGTTTTGATGACTGATGCTAAATATGCACAAAATTCACCTTATAATGACATAGCAGATAATTCGATTTCATCAAAACAACGACCATTTAGACCAAACAGACCTGATCATCAAAACGGAAATCAATATTACCCCCCCCCTGACTTTCCACAAAATTATAGACCTTATCCTCCACCCGAGTTTTCACAAAATGGTAGGCCTTATCCTCCACCAGATTTTCCGCAAAATGGTAGGCCCTTTCCACCACCCAATTTTCCTCAAAACGGTGGGCCTTATCCACCCACTAATGGTCCACAAATTGGAGGACCTTTCCCACCATTAGGCCGGCCTCCGTTTCCTGCACAACAGTATGGTCAACCACCGTATTTGTACAGGCCACAAACTAATTCAATTATGCAAGCTTTGAGCTCTATTTCACAACACGATGATTTAAGATGTGTACCTAGACTGCTCTGCGAAGTCTCGTCGGGAACAAGAACATCTAATTACTACAGACCAACTTATCAACAGCAGCAACAGTCAACTATTCCATTTCTAACTAAAGATGCTTTGATCACGTAAGTTTCTAAAAAGCTATTAAAATAAAAAATTAATTTTTAAACTAATTTAATGTATACAACTTTTTCATAATCATCTAAGTATAGCATATAGAGATTCTTTTAACGTTAGCCATTCGATTAGTTTTTCAATAATAATAATTTTAAGAAAACTATTTGTTTTTTTAAATTAAATTTATTTTTCGGTTTATCAATTGTTTAATACTTTTTTAATCTAGCTTTTATACCTTATAAGGGTATCAACTATAATTTTTAAATGTCAACGTACATATTTAACTAGTTTATTAAATAGAAAATGATCCTATCAGCAGAGAAAATAACTAATCAATAACAACTTGACTCATTATTTTAGAAGTTCTTACCATTTTAAAATATAGGCTTAAGATGAATTACGGTTATGACAATATTTATCATTAACAAATTTCTCTATCGCACTCATCTTTCTGCCTAAAAATGTTTATAATTTTCGAAATTCTGATTCAAAAGTTGTAATGACTAGCCATTTTCTGATTTATATATTAGATCATTTTCTATTTAATATGTTAGTTAAATATGTATGTTGATATTTCAAAAATAAAGTTTAAATCCTTATAAGATAAGGGATGGACTAAAAAGTAATTAATAACTGATAAATAAATAAATATATATAAAAAAAATTTAATTTTTTTTTTTAACATAATTACTATTACTATCGAAGAAATCGAGTGACTAACATTAAAAGAATTACTCTGTGTATAATTAATTTTATCATCAATTACATAAGTAATAAATGTACAAAAAAATTCAAATAGAAAAACACAATAAATTCTATCCAAAAATTAAAATGTATACTCATATTTAAATTTATAGTAAAATATATGAATTTTAATTACACAATAAAAAATCCTTTATTTTTAAGTTCAATTAGAAAAATTAAAGTTATTTTATCAACTTTTAGTAATTTCAGGAACTAATTTTCGTGGTAGGTTTTTTTAATTTTCGGTTATATTTCTGTTCATTTTAATGTTAAAGTACATAAGTTGATGTTGATGACTAGGTCGTATTTCAATCAACTAATAATGCAATAATATATCATGAGCATTAACCTTTTTTACAATAAGACAATAAATCAGCAGACTATTGACGGAACGGCCGGTATTCTTAGATAAGGAATGAAAAAGTGTCTTTGACACGAGGAGACGTGCTTTTTACGCTGTTATAAGTACTGTGCGAGGGTCACGGTGCGTAAACATTTTCAGGGTTTAAATCGAAATTAACTTGTTTTGCCCCTGTATTCAACCCTACAAGTATTTATTGTCGTATGATTTACTACTACTTACGGCAAAGAAAAAGAACCACCACACGATGAAATAAACATTTTTGCTGACAGATTAATGACGTGCTCGCAAACGATTTCTCTAGGGAATACTTTTCACTGATCACTCCGCACAAAAATCTTTAAGACTTAAAGTTTCTGCTCTAAGTACAGCTCATGCATATGTAAATACACATTGGTATAATTTTTAGCTTACTAAGAAAAATATTTGATAAATCATTTTTTACATGCTCTTCAAAATATTTGTATGGTTAAATTTTAGTTTTATTGGTAAGTAATTTGTGAAGTAAATAGGCCTACTTGTGCACAGAGTCGTAGTGAAAAACATGTTCTCGCGTAATGTGTTTATTTTTGTGTGAACATTTAATAGCTCAGCTAAAAATTAGAACACTAAAAAATAGTTAGAAGATCAATTACCACAGAAATAACCTTCAACCCATCATATTATGTCCGCATTGTAACTTATTATTAGGGTAAAATGTGCATTAGTTAATATTTCCATACAACCGACATCTGTCACGACGATTATGCGTGACAAAAATGTGTTACGCATTGTTTATAAGCACCAAAGTAACTATAATGATCGTTTTCCCTATCTTCGTTGTTGTCGATGACCTGTGACGTTTGAAACTCGAAGTTGTTTGATTATGTGTACAACGGAACACATGTCTGAATCTTACGTAGGCTGAATGTGGGTTCTTAAGAGTGAAGAAATTACAAATTTGCATTTACTTCAAGGCAAGGCATTTAACTTTCTATCACTTTGACTTTTATCGTATAATATTCAAATTATGAATTCATACCCCACTCATTAATTGTTCATATTATTAAAAAAAAAAATTTTTTAATTCAAATAATTTTATCTAAAATCAGGTATTTCTTACAAAATAATTATCTACGAGGTAATCTTGGTGTCGAACCGCCGAAGAAAATATTATGAAATGGATGTCGGATTTCCAATTGAGTAACTTGGATTCATAATTTCACAATGTATGCTATGAATATAATGTTTGGTTAGTTATTTATGTACAACAGAGATGTATTTTGCGAATTTGATAGTCCCAACCATTGTTCTATTAGTATATTAATTGTGTGAGCCATTTATGTATTGTCTTAAAAATGTATAACTATATTTATACTTATATTTAACTATTCATATTTTTTATCTGTATTGATTTACATAATCTCTATAAAAAAATTTGACTTCTCTGTTTCAGTTTGCTCACTGTGTTAAATTTTGTTGACGATTCACCCTTACTGATGTTTGGTAGAGCTGCACTTTTGGGCTACAACTCACGAGACGATCCAAGGTCATGTATTACCGCTTACCCGACTTGTCCTAGGGATCCTGATCAACTGATTAACTACTTGAACAACCACAATGGTGGATTTTTCCGGTTTTTCAATCAACAACTTCCACAATATGCGCCTCAATATGGTGGGTACAAGGGACGAGCGGACAAAGAAATACCACGAATACTTTCTGGAAGTCCGAGTCAATATTATGACATACCATCGGCTTATGACTTACCTTTACAAACAACTCCGCAAAAGCCAACTGTTTTTCCGTTAGATCACCATAACTATTACGGTGGAAATTACTACGATGGCAATTATAATCATGTAGCAGCCGCTTCCTACAATGACTTAACGAATTTCAAGTTTCCGTCTAATCATAGGCGAGGTAAGAACATAGCACCAAATAAAATGGTCTTCCCGCCAGATCGAACTGGTACGGGTGGCTTACGAGCAGATTTGGATCAGTACGGTAACTACAAAGGAGTCTACTACGCTGGCGAAACAGTCAAGTTTGACGACAAAGACCAGACTTATTTAAATAAAATGAAATTTCCTGAAGACTTATCGGTGGGAAACCGAATACCGTACAGCAGAAAGCAAAAGTTAGTTTTTCCCAGTAGTAACACTGTACGTCTGTAATGGAAGTCATCTGACCTTTTCCTAAAATTTAACTTATTATGTGTGTTGTTATTAATAATAGCTAAAACATTGTGAATATAAGTTATGTAACTTTAGTTATTATTGCACTGCTCATTGTATATTTTTCATTTTGTTTTTGTTCACATAATAAAATTGTATAAAAATTAACTTATTAATTTACAATTATTAATGCTTTTTAACTTACAAATCGTTTCTATATTTCATATGTACAGTGATCATTCATTATGTAAATAATAAACGTGGTAACTAAAAGTTATTTATATGTATTATAAAAATGACAAGTGAATACACTAATGTATCATTCTATTATTTTAATTTATACAATATTCAAAATATAGTTGTTTCAAATCCAGCTTTTTAAGCTACGTTAAAAAAAAATAAAAAGGTAACTTCCAAAAATAATTTGACACTCGATTCGAGCGGACCGTGCTCGATAACAACGCTGTATTACAATATTAATTATTATTATAATAAAGACTAGACGTGTTTTCTTTTGATGTTAATTATAATATTTTCACTTTTTTCATCATTTGCATCACTTGAAGACCAGGATATGGACAACTCGGATAGAAATTATGACATCCCGAGTTGTCTATACCGTTGATTAGTTGTCCCATATGTGCCGCAAAATGGTATTTCGATGTCACTTCAGCTGTCAACGATATAGATGTATCTCTGGAAAATGAAATTTAGTCAAGTCAGAATTATAAATCAAATTATTTACTTGTTTTCGTGTTATAATTGTATATGTCCTATAAACCTGCCAAATTTATACTGAAATTGACTTCGCGTCTGGATAGGCAATGAAAATGAATATTTGTACACCCCATGGTTATATAAACAACTTCAATATCTTATCTGATTTAACATATTTTTTATTCGAGATTGGATATATATTATTGTATAATGAGTTTTTTTTTTTTTAATAATTTTAATAAAAATCAAAAATGATCATCTGTTTTGATGCATAAAAAATGATATTTGAATTTAATCTCTGTGCGATGGTGTCTTTTGTTGGAGTTAATGTAGAATAAAAAAAAGCAAACTTTAATTTTGTACGCCAAGAAGTATTATGATTCCAATCTTTCCACTTTTTCAAACGTATCCCCAGTGGATTGTAATCCTGGTTATATCAAATATCCCCACAAGTATCAAGATATCTGCATATGCGCGTGTAAACCGAACATTTAATCTTTTGAATATTTACAAAAGCCAAATGCTATTTACCACTTTTTCGGTTATTTTTATTATTACAATGGTTCAAGGGGATCAATGTGATCGGTGACAGTGCTACTCATTGTCTGCGTGGCGCCAAATCCCTTAATAAAAAAAAAAAATACTCTCATTTTATTATTTGCAACCCAATACAAATGTAGAATGATTTCAAGATAAAGCACAAAGTAGAAAAATAATAATCAAAATGATAGATTAATTACTTTTAAAAAATAAATGTACGATGAATGTTTGTAAATTTTTTAAGTTTTCATCTTATGAAATAATTTAGAATTATTTCAACTCTTTGACGCATATAGAACTTTTAAAATAAGACATATTAACAAATAAATGGGAGTTTATGATGTTTGTATGCTTCTTACTAAATAACAAATTATTTACACAGATTGTTAATTATAATTTAGTTTTCCTTCTTTTCTTTAACTTTTAAATTATTGAGCTGATATGATAATGTATATTGAAGTTATACGCAATTGAATGGTAAAAAAATAAAAAATGATGTTAAAAGACAAATTTTTATATAATTTTTTATTAAGTGATACGGCAGTAAAAGATATTAAATAAGAGGGTTATGATAGTATTTTATTCGCAAAAATAAGATGCTTATATTTATTAAGTAATAACAGTAATCAGTAGTGTTTAAAACCACTTGTTGATATATTAAAATTATAAAAGGAATGTGGTAGATAATACCCACATGTCCAAAATATACAATAAGTAATAGAAACTCTATTCAAAATAAACGTATAAAATAACTGACTAACTGTGATTTATTCATTTATGACACTAAAAAGTTCTCCATAAGTCACATACTAATATCACCGTATAATTTATTTACTTAAACTAAGTACTAAAATTTTTTCATTATATATAATTTTTATACGAATCAGTAATTTATGAATTTAGTGTATTTAATTTAAAAAACTATTCAAACTTTTTTTTCAGAATTCATTTACATAATCATATAAATTATTAAATGAATATTTAATTATAAAGTATATTATTATTATTATTTTATATATTGTTGTTGATGAAATGCTATATCGAGATCACTATTCTCACTAATTTTAGTTTTATATATTAAAAATTATGCACATATGTTTAAAAATAATTAATTGTAGTTGATTTTTATTTAAGATTAATCCAAGATGAATAAAAATTCGCAATATCTAAAAAGACATCACATATTAATTTATGATATAGATCAAATGAGGTTTTATATTATTCCGATACATTAAAGTAATCGATATAGTTAAAAACGTATCCAAATGTAGCGAGATTT